TTGTGAATGTTGCTGTTGTTTGGTAGATGCTTTTTATGCCTTTTTTTTAAAATTTGCTTAGCTTGCATGCTCAGTTTACTAATAAAATATTTAGATTAGATTTGAAAATCAATAGCAAAAAAAAAACGAAATAAAATAAAATGAATTGATTTATTCATTTCAGGTGATATATCAATTGCTTTAACTGATTCAAAAAATCAAGATGTTCCATTTACAATTGATGATAATCAAGATGGAACATTTACTATAACTTATACACCGAAATTACCTGGTGTACATTGTATAAGTGTTCTATTTGGCGATAATGAAATACCTATATCACCACTTAAAGTTACTATTGAACCAAGTGTTGATGTAAATAAAATACGTGTTGAAGGTCTTGAAACAAGTAAGTTTAAATGTATAAATCAATGTTATTTAAAAGTAGAAAATACTAAAAAACGAAAGATGTTTTTGATCTACTTCTATGTGTGTTAGTTTCTAAGCATAAGTGTTTTTTTTTCTTTTCTCTTTCTACACACACACATTCTCTATCTCTCTCTCATAAATCATAGTGCCTATTGTTGGACAACCTGCTCAGGTAACATTAAATACATTAGCAGCTGGTACATTACCAGCTAATGCAATTCATGCTCGTATTGTTGGACCAAAAGGTAATACACAAGAAGCAATCGTAACACCAGCACCACAAGGTTATAATCTTCGTTTTAATGTACCTGAACCAGGTACATATACAATTGAACCCGATGTATGTACATTACCATTACGTCCAGTACAAATCACAGCTATTGAACCACTTGATCCGAGTAAAGTACGTGCCTATGGACCAGGTCTTTCACAAGGCACAGTTAATAAACCAGCTGATTTTATTGTTGATACACGTGGTGCTGGTAATGGTCAATTAGCTGTTACAGTTGAAGGACCATCAGAATCAAAAATTGATTATCAAGATAATAATGATGGTAGTTGTCGTGTTACCTATCATCCGACAGGTAGTTTTACTTTTTGTGTTTTTTTTTGTGACGTTTTATTTTTCATGGTATTATAAAACTACAGTCTCTGGTAATTACAACATCAATATATTATATGAAGGAAAACATATCCCAGGTTCACCATTTCGTTCTGCTGTACGTGCTGATCTGGATACACATTCTATTCGTTGTTATGGACCTGGTCTTGATTCGAACGGTGTGTACGACTATATGGAAACAACAACAACATATATATATATATCCCTATATTTAATCATTCGCATTGCATGTCTTAACTTGCCATTAAATAATATCGCTTGCATGAACTACTGCTTTTTTTCCTTGTGTGACTAATGTTCGTTTGACGTGGTTAGGTTCAAAATAGAAACCTCTAATCTTAAGAAAGGGAAAATCTTATTTTTTTTTTCATATAAACAAAAATACTCTCTTCTAGATTTTGTTGAGATATTAATAACTAATAATTTTTAGTCCGAAAATTCTTGTAAGATTACAATATTTATTCGATAATAAGTTTTGCTTTTGGTGCATGATGGGATGCTTTATTATGTTTTTCTCTTTTTTTTCTCTGAAATATTATTTCTAATTTCTCATTTTTTAGGAGTATTTCTTGAAAGTCCAACTGATTTTATTGTTGATGCTAAATTAGTAACGGGTAGTGGTTCAGGCCGTGTTGAATGTTTATTAACATCACCAAGTGGTCGTGTTGTACGATGTCCTGTTAAAAATATGTCTGATGGAACTTATCTTGTTCAATATGCACCTTATGAACCAGGTTTAATGAATTAAAATAAACATAAAGCATTTCATACATATTATTATTTTTTCTTCTAGGCATGCATCAATTAGAAGTGACCTATGAAAATATTCCTGTTCCTGGTAGTCCATTTCATGTTAGTGCTGTTCCAGGTTGTGATTCAACACGTGTACGTGCATATGGACCTGGCCTTGAAAGTGCAACAACAAATGAAGCAACAACATTTACAATTGAAACAAAAAGTGCTGGACAAGGTAGTCTTGGTTTAGCAATTGAAGGACCATCCGAAGCTAAAATGATTTGTAAAGATAATCAAGATGGTACTTGTGTTATGGAGTATTTACCTGTAAGAAAAGAAATTTAAAAAAAAGATCCTTGAATTTTAAATTTATTATTTTTCTTTCGATTAGACGAAAGCTGGTCAATATGATATAGCAATTAAATTTGCTGAACATCATATTCCAGGTTAGAATTGTTATTTGTTTGCATAGTGAAAATTGGATGATTCTTTTCTTTTTTTTATTTTATTTTATTTTATTTCGTTATTCTTCTTCTTTTAAGGCTCACCATTCCGCGTCAATGTACGTGATCGACTTGATGCTAATCGTGTTAATGTTAAAATGAGTTCAACTATGCGTGCTAATGTTTTACAAGAAATTATAATCGATGGACAAACAGCTGGACCAGGTAGTCCATCAATTGATATAACTGATATACATGGTAAGTTTTCGTTTTTTTCCTTTACTTTTGCGGTTTTTTTTGTTTGATAAAAGAAGAACTATAATTTACCTTCTTCAATAACAATCATTCATCTATGTGTGTATATTTATTTAAAATGCATTTATTTACGGAGAATAGAGCTATTCATAGAGAAGTATGCCTTTCTCTTTTCTTCTTCATCGATTTCGAATCAAAAAAGAAAAAGGTAATACGATGAGGACGATGAAGGAAAACAACATTGTTGTACGTATCGATGGAAAGGTAAAGATGAAGACGCAAAGAACATGTATATATGTTGGAACCAAAGAAGACGAAGAAGGAAAGAAAGAAAGCAATAACATAGTAATGAAGGACAGACGGAACCAACATTACAATCTAATCGCGTTTCATTAACCTTTTCCTCTTCATCGTTTGCTTTTTATATTTCATATATCTTAATATATATATATATTGAGAAGTACGTGCATGCGTGCCGAAAAATTCTCAACCTTCATCGATTTTGTTCAATCGGAACGTTGATAAATATTCCTCTCATTCTTTCTCTTTGATAAGGTAATTCGACATACGAGAATAACTTGAGAAGCTTAAATTCTTCGTTTTTTTTCATTCATCTCCTCTTTCGATTAAAATGAACAGTATCGTATGAAATTTTTTTTTTCATTTTTATTCCTTTTCTTTTTTCATTTTTACATATGAATTTGATTTTCGATTTGTGCAATAAGTACGTTTTTTTCTCCATCTCTTTCGGTCTTTCGCTCTCTCTTGCTCCGTGTTCTACTTGAAAAGAGCACGCACAATTCTTTCTTTTTTTCTTGTATTATAGGTCGTCGCAAACCAGCTAATATTC